GGTAGCTCCATTACCCAGTGAGGGGACATGCCCATCTTGCCTAAGCTCTGAGGATATGTTGTTAGTTCTCGGTGTTCTTCCTTATTTTGGTCCAGATTTCACAGCATTTGGCAAGTTTACTACAGTTTGTTGTTTCAGATTGTAGTCATATCCTTATTTTATTGGCAACTAAAATAGTTATCTCCTCTTTTTGAGATTTTTGAGGAAGTGAAGGGAGAGAATCAATGTCCATACACTGTGATCTTTAACCAACCCATTTTGTGCACTTTCAATGGCATTCAACAGATTTTATTGAGCAGAAGAGGTCCTAGTGCTAGTTCCCCACCAGGTTTAGGACTTAAATCTGAATTCTCACAAAGTGAATTTAACTTCGATTACATAACTTGGCTTCGATCACCTTTCTTCTCCATTCCCTTTGCTCTGCTTTTCACCACCCCCAAATCTCTAGAGGTTTTCTGTTTTGCTTTATTTTATTTTTGCTCCCCGAGTACAGCCTCAATATTCTCTTTTTCTCCTTTGATAGTGATTTTCTTTGTCACCTTTGTGACAGGAGTATTCCTAGTCCTTCATTTACCTAACTTTTCTAAATTAGAAACCCCAAAGTTACATGGACTCAAACAAGCAGTGAACTGATAACAACTACCACCGCCATTGCAATAATCACACGAATCATTGCTTCTGCTATCAAACATTTACTTTGTGACAGTAATGCTGTTAAAGCTGTTCAAGTATAAACCAGGTAATTCTTCTAATTACCCAACAAAGTTAATATGATTACCTACAATTTAACTGTAGGGATATGAACAATAATTTTTTCCTAAAACTGGCTCCAGAACTATACTCAGAGATTCCAGCCACTGTGTTTGTTCAAGAAAATACTTTGAAAGATATTCTCAGGGTTGTTGAGCTTTCTTCCAAGGGCTCACGCATCAAAGGTAAAAAGATCCTGACTTTTGAGGAGCTAAAAGCAGGGTCTCTAAAAACAGATTGGGTAGACTCCCTACTCTGGGAACTAAGTAATAATAGCACTTCCCTCATAGGGCAGTTGTGAGAAAAACTTGTCAAACCTGCACAGAGCAGTACAGCAAAGGTAGAGGATTTGTGTGTATAACACCTGGTGAGTGGACCAGCTAAATTTATTCAGAGAACATTTCCTGGAAGAGAGGACTCTTGGCCAGAGTTTTAAAGGAAAACTAAAGCACGCATGGAAGGAGCACCTGGCCATCTTTTTTTTTTTTAGTTAAATTTATTGCGGTAACATTGGTTAATAACATTATAGAAATTTTAGATGTACAATGTTATAATTCGATCTTGATGATCACAGGAAGGAATTCAGACTGGGAACTGAAAGCCACTGCGGACTTCAGAAAGGAGCCATTTCTCAGGTGAAGAAACACCTAGTTGTTGACAACAATACAAATCTGCCACTGAAATCGGAGAATTTGAGGAGAATGCCAATGTGAAATAAGACTGTCAAAACAACTCACATTTTCCAAGGAATTTGATAGTGGAAAAGAGGAATCCCTTAAGACAGGGGTCCCCGACCCCTGAACTGTGGACTAGTACAGGTCCATGGCCTGTTAGGAACTGGGCCGCACAGCAGGAGGTGAGTGGCGGGCAAGCAGAGCGAAGATTCACCTGTACTTGCAGCTGCTCCCCAGCGCCAGCATCACCGCCTCAGCTCCACCTCAGATCATCAGGCATTAGATTCTCATAGGAGCATCGGTCTCTGGTGCCAAACAGGTTGAGGACTGCTGCCTTGAGAAGATCTTTAGATCCTCCTTACCTGCTCTTCTTTTAAAAATAAAGTTGACTCTGCTAGAGAATAAATAATTGATGCCACTTCTAGGAAGAAAGGATGTTGAATTGACAGTGGAAACAAAAACACCTGCTTCAACAACTGACCTCGCCTCCCCTATTTTTAAAATCCCTGAAGACAACCCTAGTCAGCTTTGGGGTTCTTTGTATCAGTAAGAAATGTCCCTAAGCCCACAGAGTACTAGGTGATAAGCTGGAGGGGAAATACCATGCAAGGCAGTAATCTGATTTGCATCAGTTGAAAAGGTGAGCAATTGCAGCCCAAGCAGAGGTGGCTCATTTATCTGCTGTTGCATTCCCTCATCATGTGAGGCCATAAATCCACAGATGGGAGAAACTCTAGCCCCATGGCTTAAATGTTATGCAACTTCCTCTGGAGGAATCATATGCCTATTTCAAAACTCTTCACGCTTGCGCTCTGGGCCACAGGTCAGACAGACACCAGTGGATAAAAGGTACCAGGCAGTCTTTA